TCCGGGCTGGGGATTCGAACCCGCCACCTTAGGTGTACGTGGCTGGCGCCTTAGCCGGTTGAGCTATAGGCGCCGAGCCAAGGTATAACATTTATGAGACATTTTGTCTTTTAGGTAAGAAATGTTTTCAATATGACAGCAAAAGAGGGGAGAAAGAAGTCTGTCCGTGTCCTGGTTGCTGTGGGAAATGGACAAGGAGCAGCAGGTGAGTGGGGCATGGTGAACTCTGCAGTGGTGGTGGTGCAGCAGAGGACAGGCCATGTTGTGGAGTCCTTGAGTTCTTGCTGCTGGCCAGACCGTTTCTACTTATTAAAACTTATTAAGACCTTTTATTGATTTGGGATCATAAACTTTGTGGTAAACCCGTGAAAGCCCTTAGAGAGAAAAAAAAATTAAGAGGGAAAAACTTTAATAGTTTAGTAATGTTAATGCAAATATTGATGGTTTAATAGGGCTGTGGTTACAAAAACAGTATAGCCATATACTGTAATATTCTATAGCCACCAAGGAATTATGGAAAATTACTTATAACATAAATGCTAAGTTAAAAATACTTCATGTAAGACTGTATAATATAATCTTAGGGTTTTTTTTTAAAATAGGCTCTAATCCAATGTGATTTTTTTTTAAACAATGTTTATATGCAAAGAAAAGGGTGGAAGGCTATACACCGATAGGTTATTAGTGTTTACTCCAATTTGTAGGTTTGCTAATCATTTAAATATTTTTCCTTATACTTTAAAGTTTCAGTAGTGGACTTTTGAAATGTATACATGTTTGTTGAAGGAAAGAAAACTGGAAACCTGCCTAGTTAAACCAGACTGACACTTTCAAAACAGAAGTAATCCATGTGGATAGTGTGTTGTCAAAGGAAATCATGTTTAATAGCTACTTTTGTATCTTTACAGGAATTTTGTATTCGTATTATCAGGATAAAGCTTTAAAGATAGCTACACAGAGGGATCATATTATAGTCATAATTTCGGGGGGGCGGTTTGCAGTTTTTGGCCAGGGCTGGGTTTGAACCTGCCACCTTCGGCATATAGGGCCGGTGCCCTACTCCTTTGAGCCACAGGCGCTGCCCTTACAGTCATAATTTTACACCTTGCTTTTTTTTGCTTAGTATTAGAAGCAAAGATCTTCCTATATTAACATAAACAGATTCTCCCTCATTGCCTGTGCTGGTTGCATAGTATTCCATTGTATGGCTGATTTTTGTACCCTCTTCCCTATTACTGAATATTTATGTGGTTTCCAGTTTAAAAACAAAATACATTCTTCAGACTAAATAATCGATAATTATTCAAGCAAATAGTGGTAACTTGTGGTAAACCTCATGCCATGGGGTTAGCATTCACAAACGGAAGAATCATTGATTTTATTTCCTAGTTAATTGAAATCTGAATTCCATTTGAAGTTCCAACGAAATCATAGTTTTCCTTTAGTGTATGGTTTTTTACACCCTTTTTGGTTATTTTTATCTATTTTTAAAAACATCCAAAATCATTTGCCTTAGTGATTTAGAACACATTGAGTTTTTTAAAACTAAATATACTTAGTTTCATTATAGATTTTAAAAAGGTAATATTTCATAAATATATCCAAATGGAGTATTTCCAGAATGCCTCAGAACAGATAAGCAGATCTCTGTAGCTTCATGCTTTGTCATTGATTTTGAATAGCAGGTTTTTTGTCGGGGGTGGAAAGATGAAATGGTATGAAATATTGTAAGAACTGAAATTTGAAATGTGGTGAAAGCAACATTGTGTGCCAAGTTGATGTCCCTTTGTAGACTTTTGCTTTTTTGTTTAAAGGTTTTGCCATTGGGAAAGCCACCGAACGGGTAGATGCTTTCAGAAAAGTACGTACTTTTTTTTCTTTGTTGCATTCAGTAAAAGATCAATAAGCTATGTGTTAGATGCTGTAGGAACCAGAAGATAATAATTCGTCCCAGAACCTTTCCATGCATCCTGTTGTCAAAGGTTACTTATAGTATCGTAAAAAGCAGTTTCAGAAGTACTTGTGTTCTTTATCATTTTTATCAGATTGTGATTGCTTACCAAAATCATCAGATGGCTGTGGAAGTTTGAACACTGACAGAATCTTTTTGGATGTAATAATGCTATTGTGCTTATGGGTTTTTTTTTTTTTTTTTGAGACAGAGTCTCAAGCTGTCACCGTGGGTAGTGTGCTGTGGCGTCATAGCTCACAGCAACCTCAAACTCTTGGGCTTAAGCGATCCTCTTGCCTCAGCCTCCCAAGTAGCTTGGACTACAGGCACCTACCACAGCGCCTGGCTATGTTTTGGTTATAGTTGTCATTGTTGTTTGGCAGGCCTGGGCTGGATTCAAACCTGCCAGTTCCAGTGTATGTGGCTGGCACCCTAGCCGCTTGAGCTATAGGCGCTGAGCCATGTGTATAGTTTTTGTTTTTTTTTAAATAAGTCCTTTTTAGAAGTATATACTAAAATTTTTGCATAAGTGATATTTTTATAATAAAACATTTTATAAAAAGTATTTTTGAAATCCTTGAGAAAATGTAAATTTTAATAATAGATTTAAGAGAAACATTTTTCTTCTAGGCAAAGAACAAAGCAATTCACTATTTGCATTACATAGAACGATATGAAAACCATACAAGTGAGTATTAATCTTTTAAAATTTTCAGAATTACACTAGTTAAAATGTATGGCAATATATCTCTATGAGCATTTTTGTGTTTCTCTGTTTGTCATTACATTCTTACAAATATATAAAATGTGAAAATAAACTTAATCTCCTGAGAAGGTTAGTAAAATGAGTGAAATTAACGTTTATCACTCATTCTTGATCAACACGTGCTGCCTGTTGAGGGTAGTACGTGTGGCTTTGTGGTATTTGCAAGGAGGCTTTGTGGTATTTGCAAGGGCATTAAAGTCACACACATAATCTTTCCTGTGTTTATGTTTTTACCCTCCAGTATTCCATGATATTTCTTTAAGATATAAAAGGACACATATCAAGATGAAGAAACAACCCAGAGGTAATTACAATACTCTTAACATTTGTTGAAGATAAGGCAAAGAAGTTCTAACAGCTTCATTCTCTCATCTATTTTTGCTCATCATTATTTAAACTCGTCTTGAAAACACCAAGGTGGAAAGGGCCAGCTAGTTAAGAAGTATAAGGCTCTTGGAAGATAAAAAATAGTCAAGCTACATTGATTCCTGTGAGCACTGACGTATTCTAGAAGTAATTTTAGGTGGGGAGAGTACATTGTGAATAGGAAATAGCAACCGAGTGAGTAGTAGGATTTCTGAGGAAATTCATTGATGGTGTGTTAGATGTTTCTATTCTTAGAGCTTATTTAGTTCTAGTCATTTATGCTCATCATCAAATATTGAGTGACTGTCTTCAGTGAGTCAGGTGCTATGCTAAGCACTAGGGAGGCAGAGGTGGCCCTTCTGTCTTGTGGATAAGCAGGCAGGAAGGCAGGGTTCAGCATCACGGGCTGTGGCAAGGGCTATGGTGGACTCGGATGTAGGATTGATTCTTAAACATTCTAATTTGCATTTTACCTATAATTCTACAATAAAAAATGATTTTTATATAACTCCAGGTAAGTGAATCTCAAAAAGTTTCGATCAGAAGACATAAAACATATAGTTAAAATTTTCTATCAAAACTCTAATAAAACTCTGTCAGAACTATGGCATGGGATTAAATCAAGAAAAACAATATCAAATATAGTACTAATTGTGTTAATGCTGCAGAACATGCCTTTAACTTTGAAGCCATGATCATTCATATGCCTGATAAAAAACATTTATTTTGTCATTAGATAAAGTATTGAGTTGAACACCTTTACATGAAGCTTTAGACCTGTGCTGCCCTATATGGTAGCTCCCTAGTCAGCCTGACTATGCAGCACTTAAAATGTGGCTATTGAGATCTGCTGTAAGTGTCAGATGCACACCAGATTTCAGAGACCTAGTAGGGGAAAAAAAAGAATGTAAAATAATCTCAAAAATATTATACTGATTATATTTTGAAATGATAATGTTTGGACATGTTGGGTTAATAAAATATTAAAATTCACTTTTTTTCAACGTTTTAAGATGTATCTATGAGAACATTTAAACTTATATATGTAGTTTCCATTTGCGGCTTACATAACATTTATATTGGACACTTGGTTTAGACACATTTATATATTTGAATAATTTTTTAATAACTGCTATAATCTTAATTTAATTAGAGAAGTTACTTTTTTAAATATTCTTTTCTGACCCAAGTTGCAATTTTCAGGTTTCTAGGTAGTCTAAACCAGTTCCTGTGTATTGGAGTTCAGTACTCTGATTTTCAGGTTAAAATAGTATAGTACTATAGGTATATACTAAATACATGTACGAATAGGCATTTCCTAAACTATGTTAAACTATTACTATAGTAATAGGCCTAACTCCAGAAAGGATGCCAAGTGGCAGAACTGGATTAAGTTAGAAAGGCAAAAATAATGTGCATCTTTGTGAATGTTAATGATCTTTAATTTACATGAATCTCCCAAGGGAGAAAGAGAATGCTGCATTCCCCAACTCATTTAACCATGGAACACTTTTACTTTGGCTACAGGACAATAGTTAATTTCACACACAGCACTGCAAAGCATTTCCCAAAAATTATTCATACATTAACTTTTATTAAACAAGTGTTTTGGCATAGTTTGTATTTGGATATGTTCACAAAGTATGATTAAATAATTAGCATAATACTGTGACCACTATTGTGTGGACATTTATTCATGTGCGAAACAGTGGCTGCCATTCATAGAGTGTTTCCTGTGGTCCAGTGTCTTACATGCACCTCCTTTGATGCTCACAGCAGTGCCGCTACATAGGTGCTACAGAGAGAGAGTCTTGCCTGGGGTTATCCAGTGAGCAGTGGCATGCTAGATCTGCCTCTTGGGTCTGTCTTACACCCCGTTTCGTGTGCCCCTCTCTCAGTGTGTGCACATCTGGACACATCCATATGTGGAGGCATTATGTTTATACATGGACATAAGTTCTGTGTGTGGTTAAGTCCAAGCAGAAGAACAAAGAACCCCATTGTTACCTGTTAACTGCCCTCTTAACCCTGCAGTTCTTGTGTGATCTAGCATAGTAATGGAGTTCACAGTTAATTAGCTCTTTGAGGTAGAAGGCATAGTTCTTCACAATGAGAAATCAGAAGCTAGAAAGCCAGTAATATCTAACTTATTGAGTACTGTTATGCCTTAAATTTAGCAGAAGAGTTGTGTGCCAAGTTTCATGTCTGGCAAATAAAAATGTTAGAGTGTAAACTAGATGTCTTTTGCTCTCCCACATTCCCACCTGTACTTGCCAGGTACTGATCTAGGCTAAGAGGACATAGTAGTAAACAAATATCCTGGCTTTCATGGAGCCCATAGTCTACTGTGGAGAAATGGGATAAACAGGTTTCATTGATTGCCTGACTGCTGTCATCAGGATGCTGCATTAGAGTCAGGGAGAGGGAGGCAGAAGGAAGGATGCCACCTTGAGTAGTGTGGTCAAAGAAGGCCTCTCTGAGGAGGAGCAAGTGGCCGAGCCATGAAGGCTGAGAAGGAGACAAGGGAGAATTGCTGAGAGAACTTTCCAGTCTGAGGGAAACTCCATACAAAGTCTTTGAGATGGGAAAGCCAGCATGAGGAGGGTGTGTCCCCAGATGAGGTCACTGAAGTGGGCAGGGTTCAGGCATGAGGGGCTTTGTAGGCTTTAGTATTTATTTTATTTTACTTTATTTTAATTCAGAGGACAGTGGGAAGTGAAAGGTTTTAAATGGGGAATCATGTCTTTAGTTTGTGTTTTTAAAGCTCTTCTAGAGAAGAGATTACAGATGGACAAGAGTAAGTAAGGCAAGTGGCTGGAGAGGCGACCTCCCCGCCCCGGATTTAGAGGCCAGCAATGAGGGGAGATGGACAGGCCAGTAGCAAGGGGGAAATTCAGGTCCAAAGTCAGAAGAAGAGTTTTTCTAAGATGAGGGAGTGGACCTACTGCTCAGGGTAACTGAGGAGTCAGGGAGCATGAAAACAAATGTGTCCCTTGACCCTTAGTTAACAAGGGTGTGGGAGGGCCAGGGATTTTCAGGCATCTCTGTTAATCTTCATAGCAGTCTTGATTTTTTGCCCACTGTATTTAAGATTTTAAGTATATATAAAAAATCTCTTTAATCCTTATAGCATCCCATTTAAATTAGTGGCCTCGGCTTGGCGCCTATAGCTCAAACGGCTAAGGCGCCAGCCATGTACACCTAAGGCGGCGGGTTCGAATCCCCAGCCCGGACCCGCCAAACAACAATGATGGCTGCAACCAAAAAATAGCCGGGCGTTGTGGCGGGCGCCTGTGGTCCCAGCTACTTGGGAGGAGGAGGCAAGAGACTCGCTTGAGCCCAGGAGTTGGAGGTTGCTGTGAGCTGTAATGCCATGGCACTCTACCCAGGGGGACAGCTTGAGGCTCTGTCTCAAAAAAAAAAAAAAAAAAAAAAAGACTAATGGCCTCTTGGAAGTTAAGTTAAGTCCACTAGGAAGTGAAGCCAGAATAATGGACCAGTTTCCCCAAAGCCATGTGAAAGCCAGCAGGGTGACTGGCACCTGTTGCAGGTGAGCAGGTTGTGCTTCACTTGGTCTTCCCCCTTTTCTAGGTTATGGCCTCCACTGCCATAGAGCCATCATCACCATCTGCCGGCTCATTGGCATCAAAGACATGTATGCCAAGGTCTCTGGGTCCGTCAACATGCTCAACCTCACTCGATGCCTCTTCCGTGGGCTCTCCCAACAGGTAACCCCTGGGGTCTGAAACAGAAGTTCTGGTTTGTCTTTCCTTGTGTGCCTTGATACCACGAAGCTATGGGGCCTCCTGGAGATGCTCTCCCAGGGTCCATAAACCGGCGCATTCTTTTCTGTCTGTGGCTGCGTCAGATTAGTCAAATCCACTGAAGAGTTAGTTAATGAAAATTACCCTTTAAAAAAATACTTAATGGGTTTTTTTTTTAAGTTTCACAACCCAGTATTTTAATAAGCCAGTAATTACAATCTATTTTTTATTATGAAAAGAATCTATGCTTGTTTAAACCTCCAACAGTGTAGGCATGTAAAATAAACCGCCTAGTTCCCAATTTAATTCCTTCACACTAGGGTAAAGAGCCTAGGGCACCTCTCTAGTTGAGAGAAGCATAGTCAGTTTTCATGTGGCTTACCTGGGTAGTTGAGACTGACACCTGGGTTAGGAGGGTACTGTGAACATGAATATGCTGAGTTATTTTTCCTCATAAGTGGGAGCCCTGGGGCATTTCCTAGCTTCCTCCCTCAGCCAAGCCTAGCATGTAGTCAACTGTACTCCATGCCAGGGGAAGGGCTGTGACTGCGTGGGCCCCTCTTGGGTAGCCCTCTTAGCTGTGCAGCAGGGATGGCCTGTCCCTTAAAAGGATGGGTAGATCTCAGCAGAGCTGGGTGAACAGGCTCAGTAGGCTCCATTTGCTGAACTCTTAGTTGAGAACTTTGACAGGCTTCCTGACACTTCAAGAGGATGATGGCAGTTTTTGGTTAAAATGGAAATGGTCCGTGGAATAATTTTACATGTGCTGTTTAAAATAGGAAAATTAATTGAAGGAAAAAGAAGGCTTTAAGTAAAAGATCTTTTTTGAACAGCTTTTGTATGTGTGCTGACACTATGTAAAACGTCCTTCAGACCACTTCTAAATTTATACTTAACTGTTAGGAATTTAATTGTTTGATGTAACTAAGTTGTTGGGTCTAGATAGGTTATACTTAGGATCTATTAGGCTTGTTCTTTTATGTGATTTTTTTTGTTTTCTTTTAGTGCTAATCTTTTGATGGAATTACTATGTATTTATTATCTCTTCTAAAATGCCATTGGTCATAAAAAGTTGCATTACCTAGTGTGCTACTCACAAAGGAAAAAATGTCACCAATTTAAGTGATATGACTTTGACGATAAGATACACCTATTTATTTTCTTTTGTTTATGAAATAGCCCATATCTTTTTAATTCCAAACATATGTAGAATTAGAATAGTATGAGGCAGCCATAAAGTCTGGGATCATGGGGTTAGACATAACCAGGTATACTCTAAATAAATTGTCTACTAAATGTATCTGCCTGTTTCCGGACCTCGATGGCCTTCTATAATGAATTCCTACAGCCCTCTCATCCAGGTAGTGACTAGTCTTTTATGTCAGTACCACCCCCACTCAGTCCCAGTTGTTTTAAAACCTGATCTCAGGCTTGGCGCCTATAGCTCAACCGGCTAAGGCGCCAGCCACATACACCTAAGGTGGCAGGTTTGAATCCCCAGCCTGGACCCGCCAAACAACAATGACGGCTGCAACCAAAAAATAGCCGGGTGTTGTGGCGGGCGCCTGTGGTCCCAGCTACTTGGGAGGCGGAGGCAGGAGACTCGCTTGAGCCCAGGAGTTGGAGGTTGCTGTGAGCTGTAATGCCACGGCACTCTACCCAGGGGGACAGCTTGAGGCTCTGTCTCAAAAAATAAAAAAAAAAATAAAAAAATAAAAAAATAAAATAAAATTAAAAAAAAGCCTGATCTCAGACATTATTTTGTTTCATCCATAAACATTTCAATATATAGCTCTAAAAAATAAGGATTAAAAAATACCCTACAATACTATTACCATAACTGAAAAATCAACAGTAACCCGTATTATCAAATATCCATATTATCAAATATCCAGTGTCCATACAGAGGTACATATTTTTCAGATTAAAAAAATTTTTTTTTCACAATTTATTTCAATCAGGTTGCAAAAAAGGTCAATACCTTGTAAGTTTTTGTTTTTAAGTGTCTTAATCTGTAGGTTCCCCTCTTCTTGTTTTTCTTGTAATTTTTTTGTTTAAGAACACGATTTATTTATTATACAGTGTTTCCTACTTTGGTGCTAACTAAATACCTGTGGGGTCCTTAGTGTCTTCTCTGCCCTGTTTTTCTCATGAATTGGTAGGGTTCCGAATTCTCATGAATTAGGAGGGTTTGGAAAACAAGAGACAGTAGGCCAAGGCCCTTCCTCCATTCTAGTTAGGAATGACGAGAGGGGCTGAGATGGCTCCACTGATGACAAGTCACCATTTGTTTAGCCACAAAACACATTACCCAGTGTCGACTGAAACGATATTTCAGTTCCCCCACACTGCTGTACATATTTTTACAAGACTTCCCTCTGGCTTATGGAAGTTCCTGCTCTTTGAGTTGCAGATGTACTTTGTAGACCTAACCTGTTGTCAATTTGATGTTGTTTAGGAAACACATCAACAGCTGGCTGATAAGAAGGGTCTTCATGTTGTGGAATTCCGGGAGGAATGTGGCCCTCTGCCCATTGTGGTTGCCTCCCCCCAGGGACCCTTGAGAAAGGATCCAGAGCCAGAAGAAGAGGTTCCAGACATCAAACTGGACTGGGAAGAAGTGAAGGCTGCACAGGGCATGAAGCGCTCCGTGTGGTCAGGATTAAAGAGAGCTGCCACGTAACCTTTCTGGCCTTGTACAGCCGTCCATGCCTAGTGCTTGCTGTTCAGCACCTAGGAGAGAGACTCAGCATCTCACACCTTGGAATGTTGCCTTTTTTTGGAGCCGGGGCTGAGGAGAGTTCAACCTTATCTCCTTTGTTTACAAATAAATGAAAATAGCTCTCATTTATTGAGTACATGGTATGTGCCAGTCAATGTGATAAGAACTTTACATACATAATTTCAGTTCAAGCCTATTTTAAATAGTCATTTAAACTAACAAACGTAAGTGAATTAGGGAGACAGAGCTGATAGTCTGGCCCAATCAAAAATAATGTGCATTGGGTGGCGCCTGTGGCTCAAAGGAGTAGGGCGCCAGCCCCATATGCCGGAAGTGGTGGGTTCAAACCCAGCCCTGGCCAAAAAATGAAAAAAGAAAAATATGCATCATAATAATTGTTATAATGATTATGACTAATATATGTTTACTCATTCATCCAAAGTTGATTACATTGAGGAACTGCCAAACTGTTTTCCACAGTGGCTGCACTATTTTATACTCCCATTAGTGGTGTACAAGGGTTTCTCCACATGCTGTCATCCTAGTGGGTATGAGGTGGTACTGCATTGTGGTTTTGATTAGCATTTCCCTACTGGTTAATGATAAACATTTTTTCATGTGCTTATTGACCATTTGTATCTGAGGTTT